ATGAGTGCCTCTGTAAGAAGAGGCAGATGTTTTCCCCCATTAATGATTCCTACTACCTTTGTTCCTGACCTGAAGTCCAGTTTAATATTGATATCTCATTAATCTTCATAACCTGCAGTAAATTCACATAATTTCAGACAGTGCAATTACTTAAAAAAAGATTATGATAAAATAATCAATTAATACTGAAATACTTCCAGCTTCTTACAATCTTTATGAAAAACCCCAAGCCTCGCTATAATCTTCTTCAAACGCTAGGAATTTTGCACACAAAAGCAAGAAACCACATCTTATTTTTATTTAAATAAGGAGGAATAAAATGACAAAGTAAATAATATCCCATATATTCTGTTTCTCATTGTTGACATCTTTTTTAAGTTTTAAAAACTCTAATAACATGTAAAACCTAAAACTAAAAATTAAAGAAAAACATCTGTTTTATTTAATGTGGGCAACAACCTGAAAAAATAAGTTTATTTTGGTCTAGTAGAAAATAACTGTATGGTTTTAGATGGCAACTATAAATAATCTGTTAAATTGATAATGGTTCACTGACTTTTCCTCAAGCATCTTCTCAAAATAGTTTGATTAAAAAAAAGTAACCAAATCATCATTCAGCTTTTTGGTGAAAAAATAAAATTAATCTGAAAAAGAAAAATGGAATCATTAATCCAAAATGCATATTGCTTGCTAAAAATGAAGGCTTATAACAAAAGACAAATTTGTGAATATTAAGTAATAACAAACATCCAAAGAATGCCTTTTAGTAGGGGAAAATATGAGTATTCCTACCTAGAAAATATTTAATCAAATCTACTCTTCCTACAACTCTCAAAAGAGAAAAATGACACAATCCAGATCTTCTCTATCTACTCTCCTTACCCTCTTGCAATTTGGCATTAATGTATCATTTGACTTAAAGAAGTCATTAATAAATGGCATTCTTAAATGAAATGGATTTTCTCACCCCTCAATCCTTATCATTATGGATCTTTTTTATGGATTTTTAACACTATTGGTGAATACCATTTAAAAAAAAATCTTTCTTCCTTGCTTTCAAGAGGTCTACTCCCTCTCCTTTCAGTATGATCATTTTAAACACGTCTTTCACTCTGCTCTGTACTCCCTCTTGGAAGGTTCATATCATTTCACACTTCCATCTCAGGTTCAAGGTAGCCATTTCTGGAGTCAGATCAAAGCCTGGTTTCGCCACTTATCAGCTGCATAATCTTGGCCCTGTTACATAGCCTCTCTCTGACTCAGTTTCCTCATATGTAAAATAAGGATGAGAGTGGGGATTGTGGGGATTAAATGTGAAACATCAAATAGAGTGCCTATCTACCATATATGGTAGATGCTCAATATATGGTATTTACTAATATCAGGTTTGGTATTCTGTTGACATTTTATTCTTTATTATGAAAGCCAAACTCATTATCTCTCCCTCCAAACTTATACATCCTTTACAAGTTTCCCAGTCAGATAAATGATACCAATGCTTTTCCAGTTTACCACAAATCCTTGGGATCATCTTTAATCCCTCCACAGGGACCCACCACTGTGCAAAAGCTCTCTACAGTGTCCTTCCTTTTTGGTTCTGTAATTTAAGTCAAGTTTATCATTTATTCAATACTTACAGCTGTACCCCAGTACTGGATTGTTCACAGCTTTGTATAACTAGCTATTCAAGAGCATTCGTTACCTACTACTTCAAAACAAACAAACACTTCTCATAAGTCAACCCCAGCCATAGGAAAGGAACTACATGAATCAGCACTTCACTGTCCTAGGCTCAATTAGCATCAATCTCCAACCTCTCTCTATCCTCTCTCTTGCCTCAAGTTCTAATTGCATCTCCCTATTTCAACTCCATTCCATTCTCCCTACTTTGTTGTGAGGATGACCTTTTTGGGTTTCTGGGAAGAAAAGTGTACTGTAAAACATGCCTCCCCTCTCACAGGCACTTCAAAGCAGACACGTAAAGAAAAAGAAGATCAGCAATGCATATTTACAGGGCAAAGGTCCAAGCCAGAACTTCTTCCAAGTGCGAGTAATCATAAAGCTCCATAAAGAGTTTAATAGTCACTGCTAAGAGTGTTCATATACATGCCAATATGTATATATAACAATAAACAGAAGTTGTCAAAAAGAAAGTACAGTTACATTTTTCTTTTTTAATTGGGCAGCATTTATTTCAGTAAATTAAGGAGTATGATCTTTGGTCTGGAATAGCCCAACATCATATTATGTTCACAAAAGACAAGATATATCTGTTTATAAACATGACCTCTAAATTTCTTGCAACAGGACACAGATTAAAACAGTGACTTTCTTTCATACTTGTTCAAATACACCATATGCTAGGAATTATTTAGTTATATATACAATCATAGCCAACATTCTCAGAAACAGATCAAATTTATGCATGTGATCACATACCTGTGTAAGTAATCACAAGAGACCTGATTTATACATTTTTATAAGCATTTTATTAAAAATTTAAAAGGTATGCAAAATATATGGGCATGATCACTTTACACATAATAAGCACAAAAGGGAGGATTATATCCATTTTTGACTATGAGATTTCATAGTTATCCATTCGTTTGATCCTAATGGGTAAATCTTATCAGAAGCATCAAATTCTCTGTTTTTGGACAGTGGGGTAAAGATCTGAAGGTCTGATTCTAGCTGAAAAAAGGGTATACTGTAAGAAGTCTAATGACTAAACAGTTGCAAATTCTAGAAAGAATTTTATATTACTCTGAGTTAGGTACTAATTTATGCTTCAAATTTTCCATCCAGTGCTATCTTTTTAGGTACATGAAAGGAAAAAGCAACGATACTCAGACAGGTGGTCTGTAGGGCCCTCATTTAGTGAAGGGCAGTAAAAAAGAGGTATTTTTTTTAGATGCAATCCCATTTGCAGCAATCTCACAGGTTATTTTTTATCTATTCTTCTATCTATTCAGACAGACCATAAGACATATAAGGGCAAGAAAACTATGGTTTATTCATCCTTGTAACTCAAAATGCCTTGCACATGGCCACTAAGAATCAGAGTTCACGTTTAGAGTCGGTTTCCCAAGAGCAGAGATGCCTGTTCTCGTCCACTTTCACTCTGAGCCCATCTTGCTGGCACTAATAGTGTGTATTATGAGAATGAGGTACAGTTAACAAGCATGTTTTAACAAATGAGTAAACCAGATATATGGAAAGATAAAAACAATATATTCAACTAATAAACTTTATTTGTACATAAAAGGCAGGAGAGCTTAGATAAGGTCATGCATATGGCTGATTCTCTTTGTTGTGCAACGGAAACTAACACAGTATCGTGAAGCAATTATACTCCAATAAAGATCTATTAAAAAATTAAAAAAATTTTTTTAATTAAAAAAAAAGAAAGTATAGGGGAAAAGGTCACGGGAAGAAGTGTGACAACGACTGAGAGAAAATACTGTTGGAAGATTTGTCATTATATATCAGAAATCCCTGGGTTTTAAAATTCAAGGATTAAGACTAAGAACTGAAGCTTCCATTTGCTATGTTGTATCAATAGAGCCATAGTACAAAAAGGAGTATTATGTTCATTAAAGAGTCAAATTTAATTTGGACACTAACAACCTATTTCCCCTGAGTAGTATCTACCCAAGAATTTTACTTTTTTAAAGCTTCCTAAATTTATTTTAACTCAAGGCACCTCCTTAAAAGCACAGCACTTCACTAGAGAGCTTTCTATTTGTTTAATTTCAAACTGCAGTGATATTTCTTAATTAGGAATTTAAGGTGCTAAATTTATTTTGATTACATTTAATTTATTATTTTAAATTCTTAGTCATCCTGAATCAACAGCCAACAGTATTCAAACCATTTTTTTAGGATTTACTGGCAGAGATCTTCAGATAACTATTATCAACATAAAATAACTCAAACACCCAATTTCAAGAATAATAGAAAATTCTTTGAATTAAAGAGATTTGTGATGTAAAACCCAAAATACATCAACTGTCATGAAGCCTTAAATTCAAAATGTAAGTAATATTTTGTACAATGGGAAAGAAAAAGCAAACATAAAAATTATATCATCTTTGTGTGTGTGTGTATATACACACACACACATACATATATTATGACAGATTGACAGATTGAGAGTTTAAATTAAATGGCTTAGGCTAAATTGCGAAGCTCATCTCAGATATAAATTATATCATTATAAAATATCCCAAAAATCTTTAAACCTTGGTCTTAACAAATTATACACAAAATAGTATGAGGCCAGATACTAATATTCAAACTAGGTATACCATAATAGAAAAATATTTAACCTAATGTTTGAAATTGTTACAGCTTCAACACTTGCCATCTTAACGGTAGTCTCTGAGTAAAACATGCTCAACACTGAGCAACACCTATGGAAACTTGAAATAATCTCCCTGAATAACTGGTGATTATTAATCATAGTCAAATAATCTATATATATAAGATTCATTTCAAGGCTGTTCAAGGGTGATCAACCACAGCTAACAGTCATAATCATACACTATTACCCCAAGCCCTATTTCATAACCAAACACCTATACACTACCCTTCAAAATCTGGATTCTGACCCAATGAGCAGTTTAAGTTATTGGGTCTACAAGAAAAATATTGACATGAAACTCCTCCTTGCTCTTAAGTACTTGAACATAAATTAAATCTGTCACTACTTTGATTTCTTCTCTACCATCTTTTCTCTCTCCCCATTAGGCAGCTTTTCACCTACACATAGGTCAGTTGAAAAAAAGAGCACATGACTGTAAAGAACTAACTACTTAATCATGATAAAGCTTACCCAAAGAAGTCTCTTTTTTCAGGGTTCCCATATTAATTCTCCTTTATTAAGCATCATCACCATCATAGCCAGTTTTAATTATATGCCCACATGCACAGAACACTACATTAGTTTCAAAACAGTTAAACATATATAGATATTTTCTTTTTAAAAATTATGTACTTGCCTTGTGTCTGCATTTAAGTACAACTCCATAGGCTCCTATAATAAAAAAAGAAGTAAACAATTAGGGGCACGTATACAAATTACAGCTCTTGGAGACTGTAGAATCAAAGTTCTATTATATTTACATTGGTTATCAATATATGGTATAATAATGATTCCTAAAACGATAATATTCTGCAGTGATAATGCAATGAGCCATATACAAAGAGAGCATGAATATTTATTATACATTTTTTATAAACCAAGAGTATAAGCAACCCATTTCCCCAACAAGTGCATATTCTTAAATGCTTCTCTTTTTAAAGAAAATTTCACTTTTCTTTTTTAAACTTAAGTTTAAAAATTTCTAGAGACAAGATTTGGACATAACAACTTTAAGAGTAAATTAAAATCACCTCAAAAGATTCTAGAGAACTCAAACTTTAAGAGTTAATGGTTTCACAAAGGTAGGCTCAAGCATGGAGCCTACCAAATATGTTCGCTGTCCTAGGAGACATTTAAATTCTCTTCTAAGATACTGGAATGTTTTCCCTGACTGGCAAAATAGTACAGGCCTCACCTCAGCATTCCAATAAATAACTAGTAGGAGTTGCTACATTTTTGCCATAAATATTAAAATCAAAGGCACCAGCAGAGGGGTCCAAGGATCTCTGGCCATTTATAGCCAAGCACTCCCACTTTCTTTGATATATTTCAAATGAGATACATCACTAGCTTTTGGGTTACTTATACTATTAACTAGCCAGTAAGCTGCTTCCTTAGAGGCAAAACACAGAGTTGACAGCAAGGAAATTGAGGCAAAAGTTATAATGTGAAAATATCTAATTAGGAGAATCAAAATATAATATATGATAACTGAAGTTTGTAGAAATGATTGACATTTACAGACAGGCAAAGCCCGTGTTCATCTCTGAGAAGAGGACTTCAGGGAGATGACATTAGGAAATGTGTCTCCAACAGAGCCTGGAGAGCCAGAATAAGTCTCCCTCACCCGGTAGAGATGGATGAATCTTATTATCACAGTTAGGATGAACCCAGCCATTACAGCCATCCAACTCAACTCCACAATCACCAGGCAATCATCCAATCCTCATTTAACTGCCCATGCTAGTTTTTCTGTGGGGTAAAAATGCACTGCTTAGGCTGCAGGGACATAGAGCTTGCTTGACAGTTTTTAATTACCTTAATATATATGTATTTCATAGTCAGAAAAGCATATGAGGTAGTTTACAAAGAAAAATAAACATATAGCAATGATGGTTCTGACTACAATTTAAAACTGACATATTCTGATTTATATAACAGTCTGGTAGTTTTAGTTAATCTAAGCCGATCCCTGAGAAGATTATCACCTATGGGTATACTATGAAAAACAAGGCTATGATCCAGAAAATCTTAGGCCCAGAATCTGGAACATTCCAATCCTGTTACACCCAAGGAGCTGACCTTCTCCATCAAGTAGCTTTATGGCATGTCTCTATAATACTTTTGAAAAAACAAAAATAAAAATAATAAAGAAAGCAGGTATTATAAAATTAATACTAGATAACACATTGAAAATGAATTTTATCTACATAATTAATATCAATGAAAAACAGGAAAAGGAGTTGACTGGTGAAGGAAGAAGGATCCATTCTTTTTATATGGTTTCAAACTTCAGACCCTGAAGCAAACACGCAATGATTAGACAATATTTTAATTGTTTCTATTTATTTGAAAAGGATTTAACAACTTAGTATTAAAATCCAGAACAACTATCCTGTTGACATAGGTAAATTTTAAAACTTCTTTTGAAATTCAAAATATACTTGAAAATTCTGAAATATCAAGTTTTTGTAATATTTGCTTTAAAGATATAGATGCTAAGAAACCATAATTATAAATCACTTATATCGTGTTAACAGAATCATTTATCAAAATCTCCATAAAGTTATCTTTAAGCCAAGAGCAAAAATTACTAACAAGGGGCTTCCCTGGTGGCGCAGTGGTTGGGAGTCCGCCTGCCGATGCAGGGGACATGGGTTCGTGCCCCGGTCCGGGAGGATCCCACGTGCCACGGAGCGGTTGGGCCCGTGAGCCATGGCCGCTGAGCCTGCGCGTCCGGAGCCTGTGCTCCGCAACGGGAGAGGCCACAGCAGTGAGAGAGGCCCGCGTACCAAAAAAAAAAAAAAAAACCTAACAAGGAAGAATCAGGAAGATTTATGAAAATGAATTACCATATTTCATCAAATTGGTATCACTGATTATAAGCATTAGTACTGCTAGGAAAGAAAAAGTGCTGTCAATCAAACCATGACATGCTACTGATTATAACACACATCTGATTTCAGAGATGTTAAAAAATGACCAAATTGGGCTTCCCTGGTGGCACAGTGGTTGAGAGTCCGCCTGCCAATGCAGGGGACACAGGTTCGTGCCCCGGTCCGGGAGGATCCCACGTGCCGCGGAGCGGCTGGGCCCGTGAGCCATGGCCGCTGAGCCTGCGCGTCCGGAGCCTGTGCTCCACAACGGGAGAGGCCACAACAGTGAGAGGCCCGCATACGGGAAAAAAAAACAAAAACAAGACCAAATGGTGTGGTTCAGAATTTATAAAATGTGGTTTGTTATTCTCAAAGACAAATAGAAGTTATTTATTCATTTATTTATCATGTATTAAGGAAAATTTGACATACAAATTTTAAGTTAGTCAAAATAAGCCTAGCTGACATAAAAAGTAAATGTAACCAAAAAAATGTAGACTAAAGAAATCATGATTGCTAATGAAAAGAATGAAATGAAGGCAGCCTTAAGAAATCTGATTTCTTAAACTTTAAAGGATTTTTAAATGTTATTAACGTTCAATTGGAGAATAAGACCCAAATAGTTTAAGAGTAATTTTACTTTTAATATTTTACTCTTAGGCACATATGTGAATTGATAAAGGTTAAGTTAACAGAATCTGAATTAATAACTTTTTTGGTGGTAGGTATAATTGTACATTGCTCAAAAACTCAAGGAATGCTAAACTTACCTTCACCTACAACCCCAAGGATCTCAAATTTATTCATCACATTACCAATGTTAGGAATCTTCATGAAGACAAACTCCTCTTTTGATGCAAGCCACAGAACATGGCACCAAAAAAGAACTTCTAAGAAAGTTGTACAGTAAGTAGAACAAAAAATGTCCAAAGGAAGAAATTCTCACAGGTTGGCAGGAACTTTCACATATTTGTCCTAATGTGAAGTATTAAATGATTCCCTGAAAGAACAAACACAATTAAAAGTCATAAGTTTTATTTCTCAGTACTCTAATAAACTAACCAATCTTTTTGTACAGTTCTTTTAAAACCACATTAATGTTTCATATACTACTACTACTACTACTGCTACTGCTACTGCTGCTAATAATAATAGGAGGGAAGAACCCAAAATGAAACACAAATGAAAAAATGTACCTAACTATATTTGAAATGAATAATATAACTACACTGAAGGAGGCTGGGGGAAAAGAATTAACCCCAGGTAACTTCTGAAAGCAGTATTTTAACTACATACTCTCCTTGAACTAAAGACAAAAAGAAATATAAACAAATATTATACTCAGTTATTTGTTTTTACACAGAGATATGAAACTTTTTCATGTATATTCTAGGATTGAGCAAATAAGTAAATACACTGTGGACAATGTGGGTTTGGTTTCATTCTCATAAAAGGAAGTTACAAAGATGACAAGGGGGAAAGCTTGGAAATAAGAGTTAACCATATAGGGTCAGTTCTTAATATAGACAGATGTAGAAATAGATATAAATGTGTATGTAAATATACATACACACATACATTCTTCCAAAAGGTAAAACATGAATCTAACCATAGGCAGCAACAGACAAGCCCGAACTAAGGGACATTCTACTCAATAACAGACCTGTATTCTTTAAAAACGTCTACATCATGAAAGACAAGGAACAACTGAGTAACTGTTCCAGAAAAGAAGATTAAGAGTCATGATAACTAAATATAATGCATGATCCTGGATTGGACCCTAGACAAGAAAAAAAATTTTTTGCTATAAAGGGTAACTGATAAAATTTAAATGTCTACAGATTAGATAGTAATATTGTAACAATGATAATTTTTTTTGTTTTGACAATAGTAAGGTGGTTACATAAAACAATGCTCTTGTTTTAAGAAATGACAAGATGGATGAAGGTGTTCAAAAGGTACAAACTTCTAGTAATAAAATGAACAAGTCCTAGGGATGCAATGTACAGCATGGTGACTATAGTTAATAATACTGTATTGTATATTTGAAAGTTGCTAAGAGAATAAATCTTAAAAGTTCTCATCACAAGAAAAAAATATGTTCCTATGTGTGGTGATGGATGTCAACTAGACTTACTGTGGTGATCATTTTGCAGTACATACAAATATCAAATCATTATGTTGTACACTTGACACCAATGTTATATGTCAATTATATTTTGATAAAATAAATAAATAAGGCATAGCCCAGATCTCTAGAATAAGAGAGTCTAATAAAAAGCTTAACCAGAAAAAAAAGAGGAAGAACACCAAAGTTTTTAGAGATAAAGCTTGCAACTTAAACCGTTCAGAAAAAAATATGTACAGTGTATGGAGGAAGAGAAAGAGAGAGAGAGAATGATAAAGCAAATACGGTAAAATATTAACATTTGGGGAATAAGGGTCAAGGGTCTAGGAAACAGGAAATCCTTTATATCATCTTTGCAACTTTAAATCTGAAATTATTTCAAAATAAGTTCTTTTGTTTCAAAAAAACCTATCTTTAAGAAGAACAGCTGTATCAATATATAATATTGGTTTAAAAGGAAGAAATAAATCTAAACCAGTAAAGAAATTTTTTTTGCTGCCTATGAAATTTGAAACTTTTAAAATATATGAGTACCCCATGTGGTGTAAAGTACTGACACGGAAAAGTGTGCCGTTCTGTACACTAATAGTAGGAATGTAAACTTTCTAAAGAGTAAAATGTCCATAATTAAATGCTTTTTAAAAGTTCATATCTTGATAAAAGTATGACAAAAACCTACAATATCATTCTTAAATGTAGAATTTTTAGATAGTCCCTTTAAAAATTAAAAACGTGAGAAGAAGTCCTACTATTAATACTTATTAACATTACTATTAAACATTTTCCTAGTGGGTTCCAGACAGCTCAGTAAAATAAGAAAAAATAAATGAATAAACTATATAGGACTGGAAAGAGGAAAAGGTAATAGAATTTACAGATATTATTATCTACATAGACAATTCAAAGGAATCTACAAATTATTAGAATTATAAGTGTTAACAAGGTAGCTAAATATAAGCTCAATATACAAATATCAACTGTATTTGTAAACATCAATATGAAACAGAAAATGTAATTTTTAAAAAGCATCTTTACAATAACAAAAACGGCACTTAGGATTTAACATAAAAGACACTCAAGACCTCTATTCATATATATATATATATACACACACATATACACACATAACATATATAGATCACACATATATGTGTGTGCGTGTATGTATATATATATATATATGTAAACTTTATTCAAAGGCATTAAAGACGCATATCAATGAAGTTATCCCAATTTTAAGGCTAGAAAATTCAATACTATAAGAATATCAATTGTCTCCATATTAATCTATACAGTCAATGCAATTCCAATCAGAATCCCAAGAGGGTTTTCTGAGGAATTACAATAATCTGATTCTAAAATATATATGGAAGAGCAGAATTCCAAGTACAGCCAACACCCTCCCGAATAAGAAAAGTAAGAAGGCTCAGCTTTGAGGGGAGGATCCGGCAAGATACTCTCTACCAAATATACTGAGGGTTAGAATTGAGCTATAGGACTTCCCTGGTGGTACAGTGGTTAAGAATCTGCCTGCCAATGCAGAGGATTCAAGTCCTGGTCCAGGAAGATCCCACGTGCTGCGGATCACCTAAGCCCGTGCGCCACAACTACTGAAGCCCGGACACCTAGAGTCTGTGCTCCTCAACAAGAGAAGCCACCGCAATGAGAAGCGCGCGCACTGCAACGAAGAGTAGCCCCCGCTCTCCGCAACTAGAGAAAGCCCGTGCACAGCAACAAAGACCCAACGCAGCCAAAAATTAATTAATTAATTTTAAAAAAAGAATTGAGCTATAAAAATTAAAACAGGGTGGTCTTGGCACAGAGATAGACAAAATTAGCCAGTGGAACTTATATGAGAGCTCAGAAGTAGACCGTACGCCAAAATCCCTATAGCTCCAAACCCACCTCCATGTCACTTCTCTGCTCAAAACCCTCCAGGGGCCTCCCATATCATTAAGAGTGAAAGTCAAAGTCCACATAAGCCACCAGGTCTTAACCTCCTCTCTCCTCTGATGTCATCTCTGACTCTTCTCTCCCTTGGCTTGCTCCACTCCAGCCACACTGACCTCCTTCCAGCTCAATATATAACAAAGTCACAGTTGTCCCTAATGCTAAATATTTGTCACTCTAATATTTACTTTAGGTCAGATTCTTATTGTCTGATTTTTCATTCAATATTTACCAAAAAATGTTTTTGAAAAAAGGCAAGAGAAAGCAGACACTATACTTATTGTAGAAAACAACTTTAATTCAATGGAATCACAAATTTTTAAAGGATGACTGTGACATCTAGAGAAAATGATGTCACAATTTCAAAAGAAATAAACATTTATTCTATTCATTCATTAAACAAAAAATTACTCACTGCCTAACATGATTCAAAGAATGGGTAAATAAGACACACGAGACAGTGGTGAACAAGATAGGCAAGGTCCTTGCCCTCATGGAGCTTCACATGTTACTGAGGGAGGAAAAAACTACAAGATTATTATCATATAGTGATACATGTTATGAAGGGAGAAAAAAGGAGTGATTACCCAGACAGACAGCCCCCTCTCTAAAAAGGTGACATTTGAGGTGAAATATCAATAACAAGAACAAGCCAGCCATATGAAGATCTAAGTCAGTCACATTCCAGGTAAAAGATGCTCAGAGTGTTTCTCAGAATAAATCATTCTTTCATTTTCTACGGCTGATTTGGAAGAACACCCAGGAAACATTTAAATATTCTACTCTCTGTCCATAATGGTATGGCTAATTTCAAAGGAAACTAGAGATAAATATTAAATTATTCCTACTAAGAGACTCAGCACCCCCAAAAGTTCTGTATGTAAGTATATATATAAAGAACATTTGGTCCCACCTATTCTCTATGGAAATCAAAACCGACTAATGCAAACTGGGAATTAGAATTTAAATGTGTGAGTAAATATATAACATAGGTGTCAAGAACGGTCTTTTAACTACCAGTATTCATACTGAGGAAAAAAATTTATGCCAAACTGGATTTAACTACCATTTTACATGAATAACGCTGATTAATTTTTTTTTTTTTTGCGGTACACGGGCCTCTCACTGTTGTGGCCTCTCCCGTTGCGGAGCACAGGCTCCGGACACGCAGGCTCCAGACGCGCAGGCTCAGCGGCCATGGCTCACGGACCCAGCCGCTCCGCGGCATATGGGATCTTCCCGGACCAGGGCACGAACCCGTGTCCCCTGCATTGGCAGGCGGACTCTCAACCCCTGCGCCACCAGGGAAGCCCCTGATTAATTTTTTTAAGGCAGAAAAACTCAGACACTTCAGCTTCAAGTAACTAAATGACTTGGATGAAATGTCCCTTTGAGGACAAATACAAATGCTGGAGGTAATACTTTCAAAGAACAGCCTAAAAAGCCCCAAAGACTTAACAAGATTATGAAGAATTACCTGGCTGAAATCAAGGCAAAAGAATAGAACCCAGAGAGGTAATCCAAATCACCCAAAACAGTTTTAGCTCACAGACACTTGAAGGAAGATACAGAAAAAATGGGAGAAAAACAGACTTGCTCTTGAAACCTTTATAAATCCAGGGGCAAAAAGGTCAAAGGCAAAAGTGTTTCAGGGGCTTCCCTGGTGGTGCAGTGGTTGAGAGTCCGCCTGCCGATGCAGGGGACACGGGTTTGCGCCCTGGTCCAGGAAGATCCCACATGCCGCGGAGCGGCTACGCCCATGAGCCATGGCCGCTGAGCCTGCGCGTCCGGAGCCTGCGCTCCGCAACGGGAGAAGCCACAACAGTGAGAGGCCCGCGTAACGCAAAAAAAAAAAAAAAAAAAAAGGGTTTCAAAAAAAATGGTACAGATGAACCGTTTTGCAAGGCAGAAATGGAGACACA